GACAGGACCAATTGTCAAAATTTTGGTGTCGATCATTCGATTTCATCCTGGACACTACAGAAAATGGGCTAAAAGTGTTAAAAACCGGAATTTTCATTTAAAAACACAATTGTATAATAAAAACATTATATGATTATAGGAAACACAGATATCCAGTAATAATGATGGAGTGCAGCTTGAAGGTGAACCAGCTGACCCTTCAGTGCTTCTGGTGATGTCTAAAGGATTTTAATTACAAGTTAAGGAGCAACTTTTTTATTTATATATAATATAATTTACAATATAATTCAGATATCTAAAATGTAACTTTGATTAGTCAGAATTAAGTTTAAGATTTGTTGATTATAATTCGGGATGCGTGACACTTTAAATGACAAATCAGGTGATGTCATTTGAGATATCTCAAAAGGCATTTTGCCTCTCCAAAATGTGATTGAAGACATCTTGAATTGTTATTTTCACTAGTCATAATATCCTTTCAATTATCTTAAATTATCATTCAGGATAGACAAAATTGAGTTTTTCCTAGTCCCAAATTTTTCTTTGATGTCTAAAAAGTAATTACGGATAGTCAGAAGAAGTTGGTTTTATGATAAAATGGCCTGCCATATTGTATTTCAGATGCTGTGTTTCATCAGATTTAAGGAGCTTCAGCTGTGTGAAGCTGAAAACACACCCATATGAAAAACTCAGCAAATAGAAAAATTGGTTAGTGCTTCATTAGAGCAGATGTGTGCAGTTAAAAAGTTCATTTGTAAATAACAATTCAATAAATAAATTAATTCAATAGATCACGTTTACTACTGTTATTTAAGAGATATTAAATATTGTTTTTTAGGTTATTCATAGGTCAACTATCCCCCCATTAAACTCTGAATTCAATAAGAAATATCAGTGCTACTAAGTTATGGACGTAAAACTGTAGTTTGTGAGATGCGCAGATTCCCAGCAGACGTTAGTGCTGCGTTTGTTTCCTGATATAAAGTTATTGTATAACATCACATGTCATTTCTGTGCTGGTATTGAATATAATAGCGGGGATGTTTAGCTTATTTAGTGGCTGGAATAATTGTTTTACATTTATGTCACCAGCCTCCCAGACCCTCCACTTTGGACTTGCCGTTACCCCTGGCAACCCCATCTCATTTCCTCTCAAGGTCTGGCTGTTGGCATTTCATAACAAAAGCGCAGGTGAAACTCAACTTCAAGGACTGCTGCTAAATCTTTTTCAAGATTTTGGTAATGTTTACGTTTTATATTTGAATTTTCATAGTTTTATTTCCATTTTTGTGTTATTCTAGTTATTTTTTATTGTATTTGAGTTCTTAGGTATTCTTTTCCCTCTTGTGTCAGTCTCCTTTCCCTTAGCTCCCTTCTAGATCCTCTGTCCACAACTGCTCCAAATCTGCTGATTAGCCTGGTTTTTGTTTCTGTTTCCCACATATACACCTTCTGTTCAGTCACTCTTTGCTGGTTCATTGTCATTTATTTGCCCTTCTTGTGAGTATACCTGGTTTTCAGTATTTTGTGGATTTTGTGCATTTATTTAGCATTTACGTTTTTG